ATTTGAGATCATTAACAATACCATGGCATGGGTCATTCATACCTTAGTCCTCAAAGTAACATCTGCTGTGTAACATTTTAAAAGGGGTCTTGTGCAGCAGATTTGCCTGATGAACTACGTCACTGATTTCCTGACTGATGCTTCCAGGAGCATTGATTGTGGATCTAAGTAAAATGAGATTCTTGACAACCGCAATCGTTTCCTCATTGATCGTGATGTTTTCTCTTGGTCCAGTCTGGAGGATTTGGGCTTTCCATACTGAAGGCAGAAGTCGTCTGATCTTCATCACTGGCTGCTTCAAGTCCCCTTTCAGCAAGCAAGCTTGTGTTCTTTACATAGTGCAGATTATTAATGAGCCTTCCTCTAATTCTGATGATGTGTTTTTCTTCAGATAGTCCAACTGCTTGGATTATTTGCGCAGTTTATGAATTGAGTGAGATGGTGAGCGGGGACAACCCTGATGCACACCTGTCCTGGTTTTAAGCCAGGCAGTATTCCCTGGTTCTGTTCACACAACTGCTCCTGGTAGAAGTACAAGAAATGTTCTGGAATTCCCGTTCTTCTCGATGTTATCTCTAGTTTCCTAGGACTCACACAGTTGAATGCCTTTGCATAGTCAATAAAAACAAGAGTAAACCTCTTTCTGGTAGTCTCGTCTGACACCAGCAATGGTATCACTTGTTCTTTTGAGTCCAACTTGAATTTCTGCAGCTCCCTGTCAGTGTGCTGTGGCAGTCATTTTTTAATTACCAGCAAAATAGGACTTGCATGTGATATTAATGATGGTCAGTAACATTGGATCACCTTTCTTTGGAATGGGCAGAAATATGGATCTTTTAGTCAGTTGGCCTTGTAGTGTCTTCCAAAGTTCCTGGCGTAGACGAGTGAGTGCTTCCCGTGCTTCATCGGTTTTTGAAACATCACATCAACTGGTATTTCATCAATTCCTAAAGCTTTGTTTTTCCGTAATCCCTTTAGAATGGCTTGGACTTTTTCCCTCAATACCATGATTTCTATTTTTTATAGTCTTTTTTTTCTGGTAGCATAAATGTTTTGTTTTTTGGTGGTTTTTTTTTTTCTTTTTATTTATTTAAATGTCTACCTGGGTTGTTTTTTTTAAAGATCATTTTATTAGGGACTCTTACAGCTCTTATAACAATCTATTTATCAGTTGTATCAAGCATATCTGTACATATGTTACCATTATTATTTTTTAAACATTTACTTTCTATTTGTGCCGTTGGTATAAGCTCTTCTTTTTTCCCTCACTTCCACTTCAAATTATAAATTATTATTTTCATATCTTACACCAACCGCTCTCTCCCTTTCCTCACGGTTTCTGTTGTTCCTCCTCCTGGGTGGGAGGAGGGGTTGTATCAATCATTCTCCCTTCCCCCCTCTTCCCACCTTCCTCCTACTGCCCTTGTGTAGCTACTTCCATTCCTGTTCCTGGATTATTCCTGGTATCATGAGCTCTTTATCTGTACCTGTGTACATGCTCCGGTCTAGCCTGCAGCGAAAGGCAGGACTGGAGTGGGGGGTGAGGAAGTCTCAAGGAACCAGAGGAATATTGTGTGTTTCAGCGGTGCTTTACCGCACCCTGGTTGACTTATCCCTTCCTTGTGACACTTCTGTGAGGGGATGTCCCTTTGTCTACAGATGGGTTTGGGGTCTCTGCTCTGCCCCCCCCCCTTTGTTCTCAACAGTATGTTCATTTGTTTGTTTGGGGTCTTCTGATGCCTCTTAACCTGATCCTGTCAACACCTCGTGATCACACAGGCTGGCGTGCTCCTTCCATGTGGGTTTGTTGCTTCTCTGCTAGATGGCCGCTTGTTTACCTTCAAGCATTTAAGACCCCAGACACTTTCTTTTTTGAAAGCCGGCACCATCAGCTTTCTTCACATTTGTTTTTGTACCCATTTTGTCTTCAGTGATCATGCTGGGAGGGTGAGCATCACAGAATGCCAGGTTATTAGAACAAAGTGTTCTTACGCTGAGGCAGAGCTTAAGCAGAGGCCCAAAGTCTGTCCACTACCTCAATGTATTGCCAAATATATGTACATATGCCAACACCTCTTTATGAATTAATGTATTTATATGTGTACACACCTCTTTATACCTCTACCCATAGCTTTGCCTCCTAGATCTATTTCTTTTTACCTTCCTCCTGCCCCACCAACATGCTTGCCTTTCTTCTGTCTCTTAGTAATTCCTCTCAGCTAGATTGCTGTGCTCTAACACCCCCAGGATCTTATTGATGTTAATTCCCTAGTTGTTCCCGTCTCTGCTATTGTTTGCTCACCACTCCCTTCTCCCATCTCCTCCACTCCCCAAGTCCCTTCGGAACGGTAGGTCCCATTGCTTTCTCCTGGAGCTTGCTCCCCATGCCTATCTCTTAATTTTCTGGTCTAACAGTAGGAGTGCCGGGTGGGTGACTCCTCCTCCTCTTTGCAATACCATGATTTCTTGATCAGTCATTGAAATGGTTGTCAGCCATTTCTTTTGGTACAATAACTATTTGATCCATCTTCTTTTGATGCTGTATGCATTATCCAATATTTTGCCCCTAGAATCCTTCAATATTTCAACTCAGGGCAGAGGGTTTTTCTGCAGTTCTTTATGGCTGAGATAATATTGACCGTTTTCTAACCCCAGGTCTTTCCAATTTTCTAACCCCAGTTCTTTCCAAATTTCATTCTAGTGTCTTCCTTTTGAAATTTTCTGGTCAGCTCTTTCACTTCATCATTTTCTCCTGTGGCTTAGCTACTCTACAGTCAAGAGCAATTTCCAGTCTCTTCTCACATCAACTTTGGACTTTTCTTTACTTCCTAATTTTTAATGACCTTTTTTGCTTTCTGTACATATGATGTTCTTGATGTCATCCCATAATTCATCTAGTCTTCAGTTGTTAATTTTTGACACATCATATCCCTTTTTAAGATGCTTTCTAAATTCAGGTGGGATATACTTATGGCCTCTTCTGCACTTTTCTTAATTTTCTTTAGATTCAACCTGAACTTGCTTATGAGCCAGTGAAACTCTTCCACAGTTGGCTGCTAGCCTTGTTATGGCTGATAAGATTGGGTTTCTCCATCATCTCTTTCCACAGATATAGTCAATATGATCTCTGAGTTTATAAAGTCTATATCTATAGGCATCCTTCCCCATCGTGAAAAAGCATTTGCAATGAAGAAGTTAGTACTGCAAAATTCTAACATGCAATCGCCAGCTTCATTTCTGCCACCAAAGTCGTGTTTTCCAGCTACGGATTCTTCTTTGTTTTCAGTCATCAGTAATTATGAATGCATCTAGATTGCATATTTGATCAATGATAGGTTGATAGAATTCTTCATTTTATCATTGTCTTTAATTGTTGGTGCATCAATTTGAATTGTTGTATTAGCTGTTATTTTTGCAGGTATAGGAATTATCTTGTCAGACAGCATTTTACTTCAAGGTAGATCTTGAATTGTTCATTTGACAAGTATGACACTATCCCTTTTGAATTTATCATTCCCAGAATAAGAAACCATAAGCTTATGTGATTCAAGATGGCCAATACTGGTCCATCTCAGCTCATTAATACCTAGGCTATCAAGATTTATATGTTCCATTTCATTTCTGATGATTTTCCATTTTCCTTCATACTTTGTACATCCAGCATTCTGATTATTAATGGATGTCTACCCCATATTCGGAAATGCAGGTCACCAACGCTTCATCCACACCATTTAGGTTGGCATTACTTTGACAAGACAGCTCTTCCCAGTTGTAATTTTGAGTGCCTTCCAATCGGAGGGGCTCATGATCCAGCACTAGATCCAGCATTGTCCCACGGATATGTCTAAGATTTTCAATGGCTATTTTTTCATAAATGCACTACCTCTTCCTTTTTCCTAGTCTGCTCTTAGACTGGAAATGCTGCCCAAACCTGCCCACCACAGGAGACTTTGCTGGTATTTGCAATGTTGGTCATCACAGCAGTATGCAGGCCACCATAAAGTGAAACTGAGAGATGAGCGGGGGTGACTTGTGCATGCTTTGGGAAATAGAACAATTGTGTGACATTGTTGCCTTATTTACTGTAACCCTGTGGTCTGGAACTAAATACCTCCTTTGCATCTTTGGTATAAAGTTCAGGAACCTCTTAGGGGTGCAGTTCACACAGGGCTATCACGTTGATTCTGATTATAAGACAGCATAGAACTGCTTGGGTTTCTGAGAATCGAAATCTGTATGGGAATTAACACCTTCAGCTTTCTCCCATTGAGCAGCTGGTGCCTTCCAACCACTGGCCTCGCCGTTTGCTGTCAGGTGCTTAACCCAGGGCACGTGCTGTATAAAGCAGGCAGAATTTTTGAAAAATTCTTCCCAGTGAAGCTCCCATTCTTCTGTGGTGTTTAAACAGAATCCATTACCTGTTTATTTTTCCATGAACCTTTGGAAGCCCCCTCTTAGAGGGAGGATGGAGTAAATGACTACTCAACCCATTATATCCTTAAGGTTGTGATGGTTCTTCTTAATCAATGTAGAGATCCTATCACCTTAAGTAAACTGGATATCTTAAATATGGACCCATTTTAGGTAAGCTATCTAACACTGGAGGTAAAAGATGGGTCCAAATGAAGTGATGGGCAGGCCCCTGTTTATGGAAGGCCTGCCTGCAGTGTTCTTCACTGGCTTGTCTGACTGCTCTGCCTGCCCCCAGGTTCCCCATGGACAGAAGGTAGCAGCCGTGTCTCCCAGGATTGTAGAAAACACACCTGACTCGAACCAAGGTTCTTCTGCCCTGTCCCCCAGTGTTGCTCCTCTCATCAATATTACCTGCCCTACTGTTTTAAGAGGAGGAGCTCTTAAGACCTGTAATCTTACCAGTCCAGACACACAGTCCAGGGTTCAGGGCCACCAACACCAGATCGCCTCCTAGTATTTATTCTCACGTCTTATTGCCTCCTCTTTTCTTGCTTCTCCTCTCTTGGTAGAAGTCAAAGATACAGAAATAGCACAATTTTCATCTTTATTTTTCTTCCTACATGTCCACAAAAATGTCAACATTTATTCATGTTGAGCAGAACAGAGGGGCCAAGACTGCATTCTCTGCTTGAGGGTTTCGTACGAGTGGTTCTGAAAGAGCGCAGTTGGTTGCAGCAACTTCTAACCAAGCCTCTACAACACCTGTACTACTGCTTCTCCACTGTCAGCTCTGCCCCAGAAATGCAGCTTTGAACCCCGTGCTGTAAGCTGGGAGCCAGAGCCCTCCAAAGTCCTGAGGAAGTGAATTTCAAGGGCCCTGAACCTCAGCTTGAAGCAAGACCTGCTTACCAGGACCTGGAAGGAGACTGGACACTGGGGCGGAGAGCGTCACTGGCCCTGCCGTGCAGGCACAGCCCCACATCCGGAACTGGCCTCGTTCTAGTCACAGCTGTTCACCACAGTTCTTATTTCACAGTTTTTTCCCTTGGCTTCTTGTGTTTCTTCTGTTCCTCATATTCAAGTATTTTCCGTTGGAAATAGCCTGTGGGTTCAGACACAGGTTTTAGAGTCAGCTAATTGTGACGAGCTCAGCTACGTGGTCGAACCCGACACACACACCCATTGGATACAGACTGTCTAAACTCAACAAACATACATGCATGTCCATCTATCCATCCTTGCCGGCCAGGGGTCCTGTGTGCAGGTGCCAGCCCCTGAAGTACCAAGGTATTTGATTTCTCTCCCAAAGGGGATCCTCAAGCAATGGGAGTTAGCAGGGATGATTAAGATGAAATGATGTAGGCCAAGAGTGTCAGCCCGTGAGGCATTTTCTGTGGTTCGTTGAGCTGCACTCATGCAATGATGGCTGCTCTGTGGGCCTCTTGAGGGAACTGCACCCCCCCTCCCACCTCTGCTCCTTCCTAGGGCTCCATCTGGCCTGGAGGGGGTGCCCTTCTTTGAGCTAAGCGACGTACCTGCAGGGGGGTGTTTGCTTTTCTCCGCTTCCTGGATGAAGAGGGAGAAGAGCTGTGTTTTCACGAACTTCTTCACGAATCGGCGGTTGGCCTTGGAGGTCAGCGCCTTACAGAAGAGCCGTTCTTGGAAGTGGCCTTGTCCATTTGCCTCCCGCTTGATATAGGACGTATAGTGGCCCACAGTCTTGACAAAAAACTGTACAAAAGGGCCTGAAACGTGTTCGTTGATTTGTTCTGAAGCTGTAGGAGACGCAAAAGCCATATTAGAGGGTAGAAAAAAGAGAACAGCAATCCAAACTCTTGCCTCCCATGATAGCTTTCATTGGAGGCTGAATATACCTAGGGAAATAGGTGGGTGAGGGTTATAAATTAGGGTCCTCACTGACTGAGATAGGAGGCTACCTAGTGCCTAGGAAGAAAAAAATCTTACTCTCTGACTTGGGCTCTAGGCCCCTGGCTGGCCTAAGATTGTGCTGTAGAAGTTTGTTTTCGTTCTAGGTGGGAATCAGGCCCTGGAGCTCCCTGGGGAAGATTGAAGTAAGAGAGGACTCAGACTTACTCTGTAACTCTTTGGTCCCCTGATCGAGAGAGGCTAAGATGTCCTCCTGAAGTTTGGGTGGTAAAATCTCTTTTTCGTCACCGACCTAGAAGAGGACAGACAGCTGAGCGTCAAGCAGGACAAAAGAAGGGGTGGAGCAAAGGGGGCTGCCTGAGAAGGAAGCCACCTCAGCCATCTACCACATTCAAGAGAAGCGGTTTCATCTTGTCTCTAAACCTTCGCGTGAGGCTCTCCCCTTGATCCCGTGGTACTTGGTTTGCATCCCTTGTTCTAAACTCACTCACGGTGGCTGCCATGCAGCGCAGGCATCTGTGCCCTCGTCTGAGCTAGGTCAGTGAAAGCATCGAATGTCTAAAAGTACGTTGACGATGGATGAGACTGCAGGGGTGGTGGGCCTGCATGGGCTCGAACCCAGACACTTACCGACAGTAAGAAGGTTCCTTCACACAGATTGACGAGCAGGACCTGAAACCAATACAGAATAGCTTTCAATGCTTGTCCTTTCCTCGCAGACCTCAGAAGGGCTTACCATGTCCACGTCTGCCTCTGGCTGTACCCCTCAGCTTGTGACACCAAAGCCCACATCTTCAATTCCCACTCACTTTCTGACACCCTCCCTCCTCCTCCCTCTTTGGAAACCTCAATTTCCTTCCTGAAACTGGCAGCTAGGAAGAGCGTGTTGGGGGAGATGCCAAGCTAAAAGGGGAGTCCAATATGGGGAAATTGTAGCCCCTCAGGGCCTTAGTGAAACATCCATCATGGTTATCGTTTCCATATGTGTAGCAGTCAGGGCCTGGCACACAGTTAAATGCTTTCCGTATGCTATCTCGATGAATCCACTAGTCCTGTGCGACAGGTCATACCCCCATTTGGTAGGCGAGGAAACAGATCTAAAGCAGATTGGCCAATAAAGAGTAGAACCGGTTTCAAGCTAGAGTGTATTGTCTAGAACTGCATTTAGCACTGAGAAGGACCCTTTAGTGCTTTATGTACCATCGTTGGCCAGAGGTCCTCTTTAAAAAAAACA